CTGTCACTTCGCTTCCCCTGAGTCTTCCGCTGCGTTTTCCTTTCTGGGCGGTGTGACCCTCCACTACCTCTCCCCTTCCTTCTGTGCATGTATGGGCGTGTACGAGAGTTCCAGTGAGTGAGTGCTGATAAAATTTCAACAGACAATCATGTTCATAACAGTTGGTATCGGAGCAGATCGGACCCAGACAGTGGCGAAATGATGGACTGAGGCAGCCATCACTACCTGAGAGCTTCTGACGTCAGGTTTCATGGAGAAATCGCATCTTCAGTACTGCGCTCAGTAGGGTGGTGGTGAGGAGTGTGTGGCGGTTGGCATGACATAAAGACCGGTGGCGATTCAGTGCTCAGTGGCCTGGGAGGCACTAAGGGGCTATTTTTAGCCCAGGCGTCGACTCTGCTGGTGGCGAGATACCTGGGGGTATGTCGAGTTTCAGATTCTGGGCGAGATACAATGAATCTGATTAGTGGAGGTTAATCGCCATACCAAGAGCTTCAATATTGCCAAGTTTCAGGAGATTTTGAACATGGGAGCACCAGGAACAGTGAATTGAAGAAACTGGCGAGATGGCAGTCATAGCCAGATCAGCTTCTTCTTCCAGTGTTTTGCCCTTAAGTAAGTGTGTTCCTTACTCAAGTCCCTCTAGTGAGTCTGGTAGTTGTGATTAGACTGGGAAAATGGAAATTGTATGTCTGTAGACAATGAAACTTGAAAATCGCACTGTATGACAGCCATAGCTATTTCTCCTACCTATTTATTTTGACTTCTACTGACTCTGTTTGACCTCCTCTCTGTCTCAAATTGCATCCCTGACTGTATTACAGTATTGCGATTCAGTACACGTGAATTGAGTAGTTCAGGGTCTGTATGTCAGTGATAATGAAATTCTGAATGTTGCGCTGCCATAGCCAATGCTTGGGGAAGCTAGGGTTTTTCATATCTTAGGTTCTGTCCGTCAGAATTTCAGTCTGTCAGTTCCCCTGAAATCGCAATTCAGTATGGAGTCAGTGTCTGCAAGCGCACTACTGTATTTGATGATTTGAGTCAGGTGCAGTGATATCTGTACTTCGCCTCTCCCATAGTGGGGCATACAAGGTCCTACAGTGCCAGTGTCACTAGTAGGAGTCTAAAAATAGCTTGATCAGTCCTCCGCTGCATCTTGGTTGATTAGTGGGGTCTGTTGATTGTTACTGACTCTCTGCGTTATTCTAACCTTTCTACTTACAGTCCAAGGTTGCATCCTGTCTAATTATCTGACAGTGATTCTGGTGTAACCCGTCCAAACATGGACTGAAACACACAGCTGATTTATGAGTTTTGCTCATAGACTGAATGCCCTACTGAGTTCTCGCCTGCTACGTCTGTGTGTGTGTGTGCTTGCTGGACTGCATGTCTGTCTGAGTGCCGGTTGGCTTGCGTGCGTGTAACTGTGCCTGTCTGAGTGCTGGTTGGTATGAGTGTGTATGTGTGTGGCCCGCCAGGGCACTTGTTCGTTCGTGGGGCCCTCAGGGCTGGTACTTACCTGCGGCCGTGGCTTTGAAGGGTTGCAGCGGGGAAAAAGCACTCAGCGGCAGGTAGGCCGGTACCGCACCCGGCAAGGGGGGTAAATATGCAGGTACCGGAGGCCGAGCAGAAGAAGACAAAAGTGTCATTTTTAGAGGCCGGTAGTGTAGGCTAGGTCTAGCGGGTACCAATCTGAGTCTAGGGCCTGTAGGGGCAATATCAGAGTCTGCAATGATGATTCCCTCCAAAAGAGGAGGAGTACCGGTTGCTTGGGAAGGCCAGCGGCCTGGAAGTCACCGCCCAAGAGGCAAAGCAGGCCGCTATATCTTCAGGCCGAGCGGAAGACCCGGCCTCTTTTTCGGTGTGCAAGTTTGGCGACACACTGGTGGAGCGCTGGCTGGAGCAGCGCTAAGCTGGAGCAGCGCTGCTGGGGAGGAAGGAGAAGGACATGAGAGAGGAAGAAGGAGGAAGGAGGAAGGAAGGGGGAGGAGCGCCAGGGGTACTTACCTGGCTATGGTGGCAGCCATCTTCATCACCTTGGTGGGCGCTGCAGCAAGGAGCCCCCAGCTGGGGAGAGCCACACCAAGAAGCTTCAAGGCAGGGTTGGGSATGGCGGCCTGAGCTAGAGCAGCCATAGCTGCTTTGGGTTGTCCTTTGGGCATCTGGGCAAGGCCTAGTAGTCCGCCATAGCCTCGCCCTATGAGAGTGAAGAGTGGGAGAGGCGGCCATGGCTATGGTGGACCTTGAGTGATACCTGCAGTGGAAGAGGGACTCGGACATTGATTCTGGACCAGTCATTCAACATTGTATTATTATGTCTTGTATGAATAAGAAAGGGGGAGATAAGGAAGAGGAGATTGTTGGGCAAAGAAGAAGAGCCTAGTCATTGTCTTTGCTGGTGTACATCTCCTTCTTCTTCTTTCCTACTTCTTCTTCTTCTTCTAATCCTCTCTCTCTCCTCTCAAGTTCATTCATTTCTTTCTGCAATTGGATGGCTTTGTACTTTCCGGTGGATGTGTATCTCGAAATTGGCCAGGGTCATAACATTGGTATCGGAGCGGATTCTACTTGCTGGTGAGAGTTGACTTTGCTGCCCTAACCCTAACCTAAGTGGTTGAGGGCAACACTTAGGGTTAGGGTTGGTTGGTTGAGGGAAGTGGGGCAGCGTGGTTGAGGGAAGCTGCCCCCACCTGGTTAGGTTATGTGGGGTCAACATAGAACCTAACCAGGTTGCTTGAGAGTGAGATTAGGGTGGCGAGACATTTCGAGGAGACTTCATTCGGCGATTTGAGAGAGGCGACAGTGAGAGGCACTCGCACCTGGAATCTGATTCAAGGGAGACACATGGCAACTTAAGGGCTGCCCTCAAGTAGGCGAGCTTGAGGGCCAGCGGCCACTCTGCATCAACGGACTGCAAGTTGATACTTTGTTCTTCAGCATCGATGAGGGATCCGGCGTTGCACTTGGGTGTTGGAGTGAGACCCTCCTAGGAGATAGGACACTAGTGTAGGGGTAGCGTTAGAGGGGTCAGGAGGACCACATGAGAAGGGGGGTGAGTTCTCTTCATCTTGAAGCTCAAGGCCACTCAGGTAAGTGTCGTGCACCTACGGGATGCCCATGGATGTGTGTATGGTATTGATTGTCCTGTCGGGGTACTCTTGGTTTCTTTTCCTACTCCTCTGTGGTCTTGATTGTGTGACTGAATGCATGTGATCTACCTACTCACCTGATGGATGGAAAATGAAGTATCTTGATCTACATGCCGAGTCTTTCTACAGTGCTTTGTCTTTTCATCTCTGAATGGTTGTAGTCTTGTAGGTTCTGCCAGAAGTTGAAATTTCGTTTTTCAGTGCAGTAGAGACTGAACTAAGTTCATGTGGAACTCCTCTTGGTTGGGACCTGGTTGAGACCTACGTGGTACCCCTAGGGCCGAGCGGGACCAGGCGCAAACAAGAAGAGCCTCTGGACCCAAATCGGTTAGGCATTGACCTCTTGTCTTCTTGGCTGGGATACGAGTTCATTCTTCTTGGATTAGTACACCCACTGCCAAGGGGATCTTGGCTGAGACGTTTCGCATGTCTTCTGATTGCACTGTCTGTGGCTTGACTCGCACCCTGTACACCACTCAATTCTCCATTGTTGCATTTAGTTACTCGTTGTCTGATTCGTTGTACGGTCACGGAGCTGGTCAGACTGGACTCGAGAGGACCTCGTATGCAGTCTGATCAGACTGGGTCGCTGGATCAGACCTCTTGTTTGAAGTTGTTTGTTTTTCTTTTGCTGCTCTCTACTTCCAAATGAAATGCCGCTCCGGCTAGGAGTTCTACCTTCTCTTCTCTGAGTTTTCCAGTTTGTTTCTCTGAGTTCATTTCCGATGGCCGTGGAGACTCGCAGCTAGAAAGAAGAGAGAGAGAGGAGGGAGAGAGAACAGGGAGAGAGGGAAAGTGATCGTCTGAAGTGGGCAAGGACTGGGAAAAGGAGTGTACGTCCAAGTGAGAGGGGGAGTGAACCTCTGGAGAGTCTAATTGATTCTTTTGCTGACTGGCGACTCTCTGACCCACCTGTCCATACTGACAGTCCAAAAATGGCTCAGCTAACTTTAGTGCAATGGCGGGCCTTGTTAGATGCAGCAAGCTATGTTGACCAGCCGCGGCCGGGGGGTCCGAATCGGCCGCGGCCTCGGCCGATGGCCGAATCGGCTCTGTTCGGCCTAGGCCGACCAGCCGAGTTGCGTGCAGGATTTTTTTTTTTTTTTAACGCATGAAAAAAAAAAAAAAATTGGGCGTGTAGGGCTAAAAAAACCCTACACGCCCATATTTTTGGGGGGGGCATTTTTGTTTTCGATTGCGTAACAAAAAATAAAAACAGAAAAAAGAAAAAGAAAAAAAAAAACTCTTTGAAACCCCGTGCAAGT